GAGCCGTCCTCGTCCATCTCCTCCTCCTCGTCGTCGTCGTCACCGCCTCCGCCGCGGCGGCGTTTGGAGCCTGAAAAGGAAAGAAATTGTTAGTTTTTAAACTCCCAAACAAACTCCTCCCAAACTCCCAAGACCACTTACCCTTCTTCTTCCTCGACCCTCTGGATGGCCCGGTGTACTCCAGCTCCTCGTAGTTCCCGTCCTCAATGGCCTTCAGCCACTGCTTCTCCGTCAGCGAATCGCTGTAGTCGACGTCCTTGCGCTGCCTCGACCCTCGCCCAAAGATCTTATCTTCCTCCTCCTCCGTGGTCAGCCGCTCCACCTCGCTCTCGTCCTTGAGCAGCCAACTGGGCAGCTCACTCTCCTCCATCAGTCGGGGCATCCGCTTCACCGCCCTCGACTCCTCCCTTCGCCGGTCAATGTCCATCTTCTGGAAGAGCTCAAACTCCTCCTCGCTGCGGGCAATCATCTGGTTGATGGTCTCATCGTCGGGCACCTCGTTCTCGTCGTCCTCCTCGTCGCCCTCGTCGTTCTGCAGGATGGCCTGGAAAAGTAGGAAAGGAAAAGATAGTTAAAATGGTCAAAATTTAGTAAAAAAGATCTCTTACCTGCAACATCTGCTTCCGCTCCGTCCCCGTACTCTTCTGGTCAAACATGCCCGCCTGAATGACCTTCTCATCGAGGTTCAGCTTGTACTTGGCCGCCGCCAAAATGCGCTCCTCCACCGAATTGACCGTGACCAGCCGCAGCACCCGCACCTCATTCTTCTGCCCAATTCGATGCGCCCGATCCTGCGCCTGCAGATCCTGGTGCGGATTCCAATCCGAATCAAAGATGATCACCGTATCGGCCGTCTGCAAATTCAACCCCAGACCGCCGGCTCTTGTGGACAGCAAAAAGATAAAGTAGTCCGACTCCTTGGCGTTGAACATTCCGAGCAGCGCTCCTCGGTCCTCCGCCTTCGTCGTCCCGTCCAGTCGCATGTACTTGTACCCCCGGTAGCCAAAGTAGTCCTCAATGATGGTCATCGAGTTGGTCATCTGACAGAAGAGCAGCACCCGGTGGCCGGTCGCCTTAAACTTCGGCAAAATCCGATCCAGCAGCTCAAACTTCCCGGACGCCCGGTACAGGTCCGGCCCCGACACGGTCTTCTCCTCCGCATGCACATGCTCGCAGTACGCCTCCTCAATGGGCTGAAACATGAACGGGTGGTTGCAGATCTTCTTCAGCTGCATCAGACTGTTCATCAGCGTCCTCGCCCCGCCCCGTCCCTTCTTCCCCTTCTCACTGCCGTCCGTCAGCAGGACGCCCTTCGACTGCATGTGCCGGTAGAGCAGTCGCTGGAGGGCGGACATGTCGCACTTCACCACGTACTCCACCTTGTCCGGCAGCTGGTGCTCCACCTCCTTCTTCAGACGTCGGAGCAGAAACGGCCGGAGGACCTTGTGCAGTCGTCGAATAATGAGAATCGTCTCCTCCTCATTCAGCTCCACCTTCTCGCCGGTAGTCGCGAAGGGGGCGTTGAACCACTGCTCAAAGGTGTTGCAAGACTTGAAGATCGAGGGGAGGAGAAAGTTGAGCAGCGCCCACAGCTCGGGGAGCTTGTTTTGAAGGGGCGTGCCGGTGAGGAGGATTCGATGCGGAGCGGTGTAGTGCGTGTTGAGAATCTGCGTCAGCTTGCAGTGGTGGTTCTTCATNAGTTCAGCAGCGCCCACAGCTCGGGGAGCTTGTTCTGAAGGGGCGTGCCGGTGAGGAGGATTCGATGCGGTGCAGTGTAGTGCGTGTTGAGAATCTGCGTCAGCTTGCAGTGGTGGTTCTTCATGCGGTGGCCCTCGTCGATGATCATGTACTTCCACTTGATCTTCGCCAGCACCGACTTGTCCTTGATGATGTACTCGTAGGTGGTGAGGAGGACGTTGAACTTGTTCGACTTCAGCTTCGCGGTCAGGTCGCGCCGGGCCTGGGGAGAGCCTACAGAGAAAAAGAGGGAAAAGGTTTAGAAAATTTTCAAAATAACCAAATTCAGCAGCACTTACCCTTGTAGGGAATTTTGACCACCGACGGCGCCCACCGGTCAAACTCGAGCATCCAATTGCTGAGCGTACTGAGCGGCACTATAATCAGATACGGCCCATTGTTCCGCTTCTTCTCAATCAGATAGGTGACCAGGGCAATGGTCTGAATGGTCTTGCCCAGGCCCATCTCATCGGCGAGAATACCGTTGAGGTTGTTGTTGTACAGCGAAACGAGCCACTCCAGGCCGAGCAGCTGGTACTCCTTCAGCTGGCCGTTCTTCAGCAGCGAACTCTGCTCGGTGATGCGCTCGTGGATGCCATGGGCAATGTTGTAGTAGTTGATCTGGTCGGCGTCGCCCTTGTACTCGTCGTCCTCCGGCGAGATGTTCGTCGTCTTCGAGGTGGTGCCCGGGATGGCGACAGCAGTCGAGGAGGTCGAGGTCGAGGCCTTGGCCTGCTCTGCCGCCGCCGCTGAAGCTGCTGCCGAATCAGCCGCAGCAGTTGCTGCAGCAGCCTCTCCAGCAGCAGCAGCAGCCGCCGCCTCCTTCTTCTTCTCCGGATCTTCCTCGTCCGTCTCCGACTCGGTGCACTCCTCGTACTCCGACTCGGAGTCGTTTTGCTGGAGAAGAGGAGAGAAAAGTTAAAATAAAGTTCAAAATAGAAAGGTCAGAACTTACCTTTGCCCCACTCTCCGAGCTCTCCTTCGGGGCCACACTCCAGCCCGGATGTGCCTGCAGCCAGGCGTCCAGTTCACTAGCCAGCGGCGCCTCCTGTCCCGTCATCATCTTCCCACTCTCCGTCTCCAGCACA